AGCCTCCTGTTGATCTTCCGCCAGACCAGGCCTTCATCCGGGCTAGTCTTGCCCGTATTCATGAGCGGATGGATCTTTTTGAGATTTCTTTGGCAGACTACACTCGGACTGTGCGTGAGGACTACTTCCGTGCCGAAGAAGACCGTTGTCTTACTGCAGACAACCGCCGTGTTGCGGCGGAGGACCGTCGCGTGGCACAGGAGGAATGGCGTGAGACTCAATCTCTCCTCAATGCCATCTTTGCCCGTTTTCCCCAGGCCCCGTAGATAGTTGCTAGTGCTGGACTTTATCGTTTTATTTCGCATATGTATATTTTATCCCTTTCTGTTTTTGTTTTACTTTTAAACTTTAGGACTGTGCTATGCACAAGTAGCTCTGGTTAGACATGATTGACTTTCAGTTCCTTTTGTAATCATGTCATTTTGAATAAAAATTCTCTAGCATTCTGGTTCTCTTCTGTTCAGCAATTTTTTTTCCTTCCATGTTTTACTGTTTGTTACTATTTTTGTAGTTGTTTCTTCCTTTTCTTCATATCCCATTTCAGGTGGCACATTTCAGTTTGGGGGAAGCATTTGCACTTTTACATAAATGGCAACCTTTGCCTTCGTCACTCCGCTTGGTATTTTTGTTCCTTTTATCCCCTATGCCCTTTATTTATCCATCTTTGTCTCCCACATTGAGGACAATGTGTACTTCCAATTTGGGGGTGCAAGTTGCATTGTTGGTTCCATATTTTTGCTAAGCAATGACAGTATAATTTGAAACTTGTCGGAGATGAAGCATATGTTTAATACCTTGTATATAGAAGCAATTGTGAATTTTTGGAAATAAAGAAAAATGTGAATTTAAAATGATCATGTGGATTCAAATTAGTCTGTATAAATGTCTCAATTAGATTCTCACTGGATTTTACACTCTTTTATGCTTCACAATGCACAGATGCACATTGGAAACTTAACCATGAGGCATGTAACTTGATTAACCTTGATCTTGACCTAGTTAATCTGAATTGATGAACCTAATAGATGGATACCTTTGGCATAAAAAAAAAATAATAAAAAAAAAAAATTTAAAAAAAAGAAAAAAAAAAGAAAAAAGAAAATAATGACCAGTTTGAGTTTGTAACCTTTCCAACTCGAGTTATTAAGTCCTAGGAGTGTCTCTACACTCAACACCCTAAAGCCATCTGCTTTGGGAGTTGTTGGCCTAACGCTTATTACATGGGTTGGTTAGAAAGCTTAAAAAACTTAGAGATTGCACGGTCATTCAAAAAAATATATTTATTGTAATAAACATGGTTCGTTGGAGATCGTAACCTTGCCAATTCGAGCTATTAAGCCCTAGGAGTGTCTCTACACTCAGCACCCTGAAGCCATCTGGTTTGGGAGTTGTTGGCCTAACGTTTGTTACATGGGTTGGTTAGAAAGCTTAAAGGATTTCAGCATTGCACAACCATTTTATGTATCAATTTTGAGTTATAATAAATTGTCAACAAGCAACAAAGTTGTTTTGTAAATAAATTCATGCCTTAGGGACTTCATTTAAAAGGGAATTCAATGATTTGAAGACTTGTGTCTTTAAATTGGAAAAAGAAAGTAAAAGCCGCATGTTGTGAATCCAATCCACTTTCACTGAAGCTAGAGTCGATTTCCAGTCAAGAGATGACAATTGAGTTATTTATATGGACTAGGATGTTGATGCATGTATATTGAAATGTGTTTAGCCAATTTTTGTATCAATGTTTCATATATGCATGGTAGTCTACTCAATGACCCCGTCTCCAGTCCTGTGTCTGTTTCGAGTTATATTTGAGCTATGTATATATTTCATTTTGCCATAGTTGATATTTTTGTGGTAGCATTCCCATTGTTATCATTTCATTGAGTTTTTTTTTTTTTTTAGTTTTGCTAAGGGACTAGCAAAATGTAAGTTTGGGGGTGTGATAAGCGCCGAATATTACATATTCAAGCGCCCTTAGCTGCATTAGTTAAGTCCATTATTCGATTATTCGATATAAATTATCTTCATTTGCATGTTTTTATATATTTTCAGGTTCATTGGCCAAAAAGGAGCAAAAATGGTGTTTTGTTCAATCTTTGAATAGCAATGTGCTCAAGGCTAAAGTTCTGGCAGCAGTGGAATCTGACTTTACTCACCATTTTTGACCTACCAAACTTGAGAACTGGACTTCCATTAAAACATGACGTATTTAGAGCTTTGAATTAGCTTTCCAAATCTTCAAACAGTTCGTCATTTAGAGTTTGGAGTAGAAAGTTATGACTGTTCTACCAAAGTAGTGCAAAGTAGGTCAAGAGGAAGGAGCATTATGGTCCAACTTCGAGCTCTCGAAGTGCTTAGTTCGAGCGCTCGATCTATGGGCAGAATACTCTCTGGGAACCATCACTTCAGCCCACTTGCACCTTGTTTCCCTCATTTTTGATTTCTGTCTTTATGGGTTGGTTGGAGATGTCTTTTGGTGGGAGTTGAGCCTTGATTGGTGGAGAGGAATGTCTACAAAGGAGGAGAACCACACATAAAAAATATATCTCATCTTTGCAGGATTTTTGGAGAGAGAAAGAGGAAAAAAAGATAGAGTTCTTGAAGCCAAGGGAAGGGAGCTCGAAAATGAAGGTTGCATCCAAGCTTCTTCCTTCTTCTAAAGCTCCCATGGGTAACTAAACCTCTATCTAGGGAGGTGATGAGGCCCCTCCCTTGTAAGCATGTTCTAATTTAGGCTATATTTTGGGGATTAAAATGTATATTCTATGGTCTTTTCATAACCAAGAGCACTTCATTTCTTGTAATGAATGTTAATATATGTATGGATGATTTCTATAAGTTGATTATCTTGCTTTAGATGATGTCTTATATTAATCATATTGCTTGAGTTTTCATGGTGAGAATGGAGACAAGGTTATGAAATTGTTTAATGGCATGTTGATAAGGACTTTGATAGATCATTGCTTAGGTGAAACCTTTGATGATTTATGCTTATTTCTTACCTTTATGTGCTTCATCATTTTATCTAGGGCTTGATAGTCTTTCATTCAAGTAAATGTGGTTGAGCTACACCTTAGTTAGGTAGTCTAAACATGTTCTCCTTTGATGGATCATGCTTGCTTGAGATTTAATGAACTTCTTGAGGATATTATAGCAACCAAGTGTGCTATGTATCATGACCATACATATATTGTTTTCCCCCAATTTAGCTCTAATCTAGCATGTGTATAGGGATGGAGGCGGATTCACTTCCTGAGTCCTCTTTACTTGTATTTCATCTCCCTTAAACTCTTACAAACTTTTAATTTATGCACCTTAATTTCATAGCTTAAGTGACAACCAACAAATCCTCTATGAACACCCCTATCATTCTAAAAAGACTCTAGACACTTAGGTTACCGTAGATTAGTGCAGTCCCAGTGGTTCGACTTACCCGACCAATAACCCTATTTTACAATGATTCGTGCTATTGCGAAGGTTGATTTATAATTGTAATCGACTCAACCGATCAGTGTCCCATGTCTTCATTAGTCTTCTCCCTCATGCATGGTCTTCTCCTTCATTTCAGATCATGATTCCACTAATTTAACCTTTGTCATCCATAACCTTCGACAGCTTCCTTAGTGGTAGTTACTATATGAGTACCACCACTTTTAACTGAAGTGTTTATATTTTCCCAAGTGTCCCACATTCTTTGTAATCTTTTCCTTCTACAAATTCCCTTTCCCTATATAATTCTATATATATATATATATATATATATCATGCATGCATATAGAAGTTATTTGCAAACCACGTTTTCTTGGCTTTGGGTAACTTCCTTCCAGTTGAACTTTCCATTCTGGTCTTTGTATCATGACGTCGTGGCCCCTTCTTTCAGCGATTTCTTCATCTTGGGTAATATATATGTAAATATATATATATCCATGAATACATCATCCCCCACGTCTGCTGACCATGTTCTCCATATTTTAGTAACCTTCCTTAATCAGATTTTCCCTCTTGCTGGATGGCGTCGTGGTCCCTGAATTTCAATAACCTTCCTTATATATAAAGAAATATATACTTACTATTTTAAACCATCACCCACTTCCCTTTTCTTCTATAATGTTGCCAACTTAGCTGAAGTAATTGTTTAGATTCTCCTAAAAGCAAGGAGAAAATCCAGTCCCATGTTCTCTTGGTCAACTCTTGACGTAGTTGAAAACCTTCCTTTTAGGATTCTTTGAAAGCATGATCTTTTCATAAACCTTCCATAATACCAACTCTTAAAAGAACTGGTCCAACGTGGTTAACACCATGGTAAGCTTAGTAGAACTTGCCATATGTGAAAAAATAATTGGTTGGATGAACTTTGACTTGGATAAGAAGATGTAGGCCCTTGTTTTAAAGATGGCAAGTCTTATTAGGACTCACCTCTTTCCTTTTTTAAAATAGAAAAACCCCACATGGTAGGATTTGTACTGCCCCACTTGTATTTGATTTTCAATTACTATGTAATATTGCATAACTTTCAATAATAACTTATTAGAGTTGCGATCCAGCGTGGTAAGTTCCAATGGAACTCGCCACATGTTGCCTTTCCATTAGGCCAAAAATAATAGAGTAAACATATCCCCCCAAATTCCTTACCTTGTGGAACAATTTGATGACATGGCATAGGATTTGAATTTCACCATATGAAGAGAAAGAAATTGAAGAAGATGAAATGGAAGTACTGGAAAAAGGAGAAGATGTTTTGTATAAAGTAAAGGGATAAGAAAAAGTTTCTCAGGTACTTTCAATATGGTTGGACTTAACTTTGAATTGTTAACATGGAAATGCATGTATATACAAGCGAGATGAGTAATTTCCAGTATGAATAGAACCTGGACCATGTAATGTAGCTTATTCTCAATAAAATGCTCCATACTTAGGAAATCAACTGATCTTGGAAATTTTGCTAAGTCTACCTCATAACTTTAGCCAATGTACTTTTCCAAGTACTTAGCTTTTCCTTCTTAGAATGGCCGAAGTATGGCCATTATGCTTCCTTTCAAGTATACCCCATTAACAGGTTGCTTGTGGGATCCTCCATCTATATCCATCAATCTATAAGCCCCTTTTCCAAGGACTCGTTCCACCAAGTAAGGACCATCCCAATTAGGTGTCCATTTTCCATATTCCAATGTTTTAACTCCAGGTGAAAATTTGACTTGCCATACCAAGTCTCTTTCAACAAACGTCTTTGCCTTAACCTTCTTGTTGTATACCCGCATAACTTTCTTCTTTTGAGCAATAATATGGTCTAAGGCATTGAGATGGACATCATCAAGGTCTTCTAATTCTACCAACATGGCATGGTTGTAATCTGCTGGGGTTAGCTTATTTTGGAAAGGCACCCTTACAGACCTGATGGTCATTTCCATTGGGAGAACAACATCATGTCCATATATAAGCATATATGGTGTAACGCCCGTACTTGATCTTTTTGAATTCTTGTAAGCCCAAAGGGCCTCAGAAAGTAGGTGATGCCACTCCTTTGGATGATTCTCAATCATCTTTTCAAGGATGTTGAGAATTACTTTGTTGGAAGCTTCTGCCTGTGCACTTGCTTAGGCAAAATATGGAGTAGAATTGATTACTTGAACGCCACATTCAGCACAATAGTCAATAACCTCACTTCTAACAAAGGAAAGGCTTCTATCTGTGGTGAGAGTCTCTGGAATTCCAAACCTATGTATAATGTGCTTCTTGATAAAATTAATCATTGTTGACTGCTCACAGGTCTTTAATGGAATGGCCTCCACCCACTTTGTGAAATAATCCATTGCAACTACCATATAAGTATGACCATTGACAAATGGTGGCCTTAACTTTCCAATAAAGTCCAAAGCCTAACCTCTGAATGGCCAAATTTTCACTATTGGCTGAATGTTTATAGCTGGAACTCTTTGGACCGGGCCATGTTCTTAACATGTAATACAAGTTTTTGCAAACTCTATACAACCTTTCAATATGCCTTTTTAATAATAACTATACCTTCTTAGAAGCCATCTCATTTTGATTCCAGCTTAATGTGCTCCGCATATTCCAAGGTGTGATTTTGCATGGACTCGTTCCTACCAAGGCATCTTAACAAAAGTCTATTTTTTTTTACTCTTTTTATAGAAATCTCCATCAATTAAAATATAATAAGGTGCCAAAAACTGAACTCTCTTGTCCGCATTAGCACTAGAATCCTGCAAGAAATGAATGATTGGTGTTCTCCAATCATCCAAGTATAATTAATCTATATCAACATTGAATATCTCCCATATCTTTTTGGCAGGTTTGATTCTTTCTGGCTCATCAGTTTGGAAATGACCTGCTATCTCATGCCGTGACTCTACCAAAGGAAAAGTCCTTCTTTTAATCGTGATCAAAGTTTCTTCTACGCCTAGTGGGACTTTCACTCGAGAGGCCAATTGTGCTAGATCATCAGCCTCCGTGTTCAAATGCCTTGGCCAATATTTGAGTTAGAAATCATCAAACTGGCAAAGTAATTCCAAGGTCAAATAGTGGAAAGGCCTCAAATGCCAGTTGAGACATCTATATTCTTCAAAAAGTTGATTAAGTATCAAGTTAGAATCTTTAATAATTTGGACCCTATCCACCTTTAGCTGTAGCAGGATTTCTAGCCAATTGATAAGTGCCTCATACTCAGCTTGGTTATTTGTACACTTGAAATCCAAGTAGAAAGAAAATGTGGTTTTTCTTCCCTTTGGTGAAATGATGACTATTCCAACTCCTCCTCCATCATAAGTGCTTGATCCATCAAACATGAGAATCCAAGGTGTATAGTCAAGGTAGAGATTATCCACCTCATCACATACTTCTAAATCCATCTTGGTAGAAGGATGATCTGCTAAAAATTCTGCCACTACCCTTCTTTTGACCGTCTTTTGTGGAATATATTTGAAAGAAAACTCCATTAAGGTCAATGACCACTTTCTAATACGTCCAGTGATCCAAGGCCTCGAGAGCATACACTTAATCAAATCTGTTTGAGAAATTATATATATGGCCACTGGCAACATGTAGGTTCTCAACTTCATAGCCATATAATATAAGGAAACACAACTTTTCAATGGACGTATACCTACATTCTGCTGGAGTGAGCACCCTACTTAGATAATAGATGGCTTATTCCTTTCCCCATTCATTGTTCTGGGCTAGAAGAGTTCTAATTGATTCATCGGCGGTCGATAAGTATAATCTTAAAAATCGCTTCTTGATTAGAGGCATCATCACTAGAAGGTTGGCCAGGTAGCTTTTTAAACCTTAAAAGGATTGCTGGTGTTATTCTGTTCACTTGAATTCCCCAGCACCTTTTAATTTCAGCAATAGAGAGAAGGCATAAGTCTTTCTAGCATGGTTGGCAATAAACCTCCTTAAATATCCAACTTGGCCAAGAAATCTTTGTAGTTCTTTCTTAGTGGCCGGTGGTTTTGTTTCAATAATTGCATTTACGTTATTTTAGTTTATCTCAATACCTCTTTGGTGGACCAGGAAACCCAGGAAGTTTCCAGCTGAAACTCCAAAAGCGCACTTTAAGGGATTCATCTTCAACTTATACTACCTCATCCTTTCAAAAGCCATCTTCAAATTCTGGAGATGTCGAACCTTGGCCGAGGACTTGATGACTATATCATCAATGTAAACTTCCAAGAAATGACCGATTATGTCATGGAAAATGGCATTCATGGCCCTTTGATATGTTGCTCTGGTATTCTTCAACCCGAATGGCATGACAACCCATTTAAAGGTTCCAATAGATCCTGGACATCTGAAAACCGTCTTAGTAATGTTTTCTTCTGTAATATAAATCTGGTTGTACCCGGAATGCCCATCCATGAATGAAATAATTTCATTCTTGGCAGCAGAATCTACTAATTGTTCAACAGCAATAGGCATGGGATATTCATTTTTTGGAGTTGCAAGATTGATATTCCGGAAATCCACACATATCTTTAGCTTGCCATTCTTCTTAATAACTGGAACTATGTTGAAAATCCAGTCAACATACCTGGTGGTATTTATAAAACCAGCCTTGTGTAGCCTTTCTATCTCTTCTTTGACCTTTAGAACATCCTTCTTGAAGGCTACTTGAAAGGCCTGAAACCTTCCTTGATTGGCAGCTTATGCTTTACCAGCTCTCTGGAAAGTCCTAGCATTTCCTTGTACGTCTATGCAAAGAAATCTTTGTATTCATGAAGTAAAGAAATTAATTCTTCTCTAAAGGTTGGTTCCAAAAGCTTACTAATGTAGGTAGGCCGAGGGTCTTGCTCCGTTCTAAGATTAACTTCCAAAAGTGGATCTTGCACTTCGACCTTGAGATCATCTAACTTCATTGGCATTGCCTTCAAGTCTGTTAGTTAAATAGCATCCAACTTGTCTTCAGTATCTTCCATAATCTCCAAAACATTGGTCAAAAATGAGGTACTGGTAGATGCAGTCTTTTCTAGCCGTAGTTCGGCTAGATATGCTTTCAACCTAGCAAGGCAACAATTAACCGCCTGGCCAAGTATTTTATCTTTTTCAGGTTTCTCTTCCATAAAAACTTTTGTTTGAGATGCAGCATTAAGCACCAGCCTTGGGTAGAATTGTTGGCCTTGGTGTTCCTTGGAAAAGCTCCCTTACATCCTCTTCTGTGAGAGTTCTCCTCATGGTGGCCTTCCTTGGACGGCCTTGCTATCCTTTCCAATAAATCTAATTGGAACGAATTCTTCACTATATAGCTCAACATCTGCATAGTAAACCCTTACCACAAATGACCGGTTATCAACCTCAACTACTTTCACCTCATCTCTATCCAAAAATATTAGCATTTGATAGAGTGAAGATGGAATGCAAAATTTTGGGTGAATCCATTCGTGGCCTAAAAGCAAGTTATAGGCCGATGTAGACTCAATGACAAAGAAGGCTGTGATGGAAGTTCTATCTCCCACCGTTAATTCCAATAGTAGAATACCTTGTGTATTCACTATTCCTCCCATGAAACCACTAATGGATACATCAATTGGAATGATGTCTTTAGGCGACTTTCCAACCATACGCATGACATTGACTAGAACAACATTCAATACTGAACCGTTATCTACCAAAACTCTTGCCAAGGGTCTCCCTTCCACCAGTACCTTGATATATAGGGGCTTGAGTTGTTGAGTCATGCCATATGGTGGCTTTTCCAACACAATTTTCTTTGGTTTCATGGGGTTATTTTCTTCAATTACAACTCCCTTTAATTTCTAAAAATGCTCAGCTTCATCTTCGAAAACTTCTTCTATATGGATACCATTGTTTAGTTCCATTACGAATAGCCCGGAACTAGACTGTCCAGGGTTTTTCATGGGAAGACTTGTGTCTACTACATCTCCTTCCATTGAAGTTGGTTGATTTGGATGTGGCTCAAAAAATAAAGGAAGAACCACTACCATATTGCAAGTAAACTCACCCAGAAAGCTACCAAAATAAATCTTTTTGCTACTGCTGGAACTGTTGGAGATTTCCAAGTCTGCCTCATCTTTTGTAAGATCTGTCATCAAGGAATTTCCTACTTCTAAATCAAGATCAACCAAATTATCAAGATCTCTTTCATTTCCTTTAGCTAGAAGTTTTGATAAATCTGGTGACTTGGTATTCTTCTTTAGCTCGTTGGACCAACCATGGTCCTTCTTCAATAATTTTCTTCTGTCAGCCCTCTTCCTTCACTACCTTCTCTTTTGTGTGCGAGTCAAATAGGAATCATTATGAACAGGAAACTAGGGATGATCAAGCCTCTTCCACCTTTCACTTTGCGAGGTGGAAGGCTTAACCATTCTAGGATGGAAATGGTCATTCCCTTTTCTGATCCATACTTCCGAGGCTAATTTTAGCATGGAATACCTGTCACCTTCAAAGGTTTTGTCATGCCACCTATTGCTTTCATGCCTTCTGCTAAAACGAGACCTTGCCTCATAAGAAATTCTACTTCTTTTTAAACTCATTGGAAGGAATCTTGGTCTCCTTTTTGCTACCCTTCTTTCTTTATAGACTCGAATTTCCTTCTCTGGAATGGTTACAGTAACTATGTTTTCCACCTTTTGGAAAGTTAGCCGATCCTAGACCTTCCTCTTCTGACCTTGGTCATCATTGGACAATTTCTCCTTCTGCTTCTCTTTTGAAAAATCTCTATGGCAACCTTCATTCTGAATTTTACACTTGGGGCAACAACTTTACTGGATTAAGGCAATCTGAGCCTCTCAGAGTGCCTTTCTAACTCAGCCACTGTTTTCTCCATAGATGCTGACGCCTTAGGAATTTTTAGCTTTCTACTGGCTGCTGGATCTGCCAAGTCCACCTTCTTTTTGGGATGCTCCAGGACCAGAGAAGTAACGTTTGTTGCAACGACCTTAGGGAAAGGATTTCCATCAACACCCATCACCTCTGATTTTTCTGGAAACTTCAGCCTGCCATCTTCAATTGCTTTGTGCACAATATTGCAAAAATCTACACAATTGTTAGTGGAATGGCTCCACGAATTGTGAAATTTGGAATACTCTTTCTCGGCCATTTCAAAGGCCATTGGCATCTTGCGGCCTGTTGTAAAGATCAGCTGCTTATCAGCCACGAGCAAATCAGCTTTGGAAAAGTTAAAAGAGTAGCTCCTGGAAGGGTCTGCCCCCTTCACTTGGAACTAGAGGCGGCCTACAAGTTGGCCATGGCTGATTTTGGTTTTGCCAAAGCCTCACAAGTATAGGCCTTCTTTATGTTAAGCTCAGCTATATTAACTTCCAAATCTCCCTCTATTTTAGTGGCAAAGATCTCGCAATTAGGATCGTGATAGTAATTGCCTTTGGAAGAAGACTTATGATCTTACTCTTCATGAAGGAGATCTTCATACTTAGCCACTATGCTGGCCAAGTCAAATAAATCATGGAATTGCACTCCTTCAAACTTCTTACAAAGTTCAAATTCTAAGCCATTAACAACCATTTTCACATACTCTTCTGGTGGTAAGGACAAATTGCATTTGTATTTAGCCTTTCTCAACCTGGAAATGAAACAGATCACCGACTCTCCAGGTAACTTATGAAGTCTGGAAAGTTCTACTATAGACACCTCTAGTTCGATATTATAGAACTGAGTATAGAACAAGTCCTCAAATTGCTGCCAACTTTGGATAGAATTGGCTGGCAAGTTGGAATACCACCTGAAAGCATAGCCAGTCAGTGTATTTAGAAACAAGCGTACCTTCAGCCATGGATTCGCTGTTGCTTTTCCACATTGGATAGTGAAATGGCTGATATGTTCCAATGTAGACTGTTCGCCCTCTTCATTAAACGTTGTGAATTCTAGAATTCTGAAATTCCTTGGATACTCAACTTCGTCAATGAACTCCAGATAGGGCTTTTTGTAAGTTGGCTTTCCACCCCTTTGAGTTAGGCCAAATTCCAATTGGAGGAATTCTGCAAATTGGCATTTATCAAGTGCCATGGGCTGTGGAAGGTTGTTATCTGGCCTCATTTGAGGCTGGTTAACACCTTGATGCCCCCAACTTACCATCGGTAGTGGGTTAGCGTCAAAAAGGTTATTCCTCCAATGGTTCCTTCTTCCTTGGTCCGGAAGTGGCTCCCTTGGAAAAGGTTGCCCCCCAACCGCCATGGCCATGTGTGGCCTTAGAGGAATAGGTGTGGCTAGCTAAATGTTCACAGGTGGAACATTCTGTTGTGCTTTATGGATGTTGTACGGCCATGGTTGGCCAGGCTGATCATGCCAAGTCTGCTGTGGAAACGCTACAGTTGGAAAGTTCTAAACTTACTGAGTGGTTGACATGGGCATTGATTGTGGAATGGTCATCTATACCACAGGAGCAGTCACAGGTGCAGCTGGAATATACGTCTGTGCCATTAAAAGGGACAACATCTGCTACAAAGTTGGAAAGAATGAACCTGCATGTTGTTGAGAGGGACTGCCTTCAATAAAAGTAGCCGTCCTACTAAGTTGGAAAGCCGACTGTTGAGTCTTTTCAAAGTTGTTTGGCCGAAGGGCCAAAACTTGGTTCAAGCTTCCAAGCGTCCATTCCAATATAAACTCAAACCTTTGAGAGATTCGATCTACCATTTTTTCTAACTTCTGATCGTTAGCAAGAGCGGCTTTTGCATGATCTTGACTAGCCTTAGATTGATCTTGCGCAACTCTGGATAAGTCTTGAGCGACTCTTGCTTGGTCTTGTGCAAACATATCTTGTTGCATGGCCATCATGTGGATATTACCCATAATGGGACCATTTGCCATTGTTTGGGCAAACTTTTCCACCATATCGTTTTTATCAGGTGCAAATCGTGAACCTTCAGCTGGAAGTTCATTGACTTATAACTCTTCAATCTCAGCAAGGTCTTGGACAATCATGCCTTGCCTTCTTCTATCGACCATTAAACAATCTATCTAGATATCCCGTCGTGCATGACAATATGTTTGGCTCTCGGGAAAACGCCGGTGCCGTTCTCCGGAAAGGGTGGAATGTGGATAGAATAGTGTGGTGTGTGGGCGTGCCAAGAACTGTAGTAGTTCCAAAGTAGAAAATTCGAACAATAATTCAATTATAAATTTGTAAGGATCATGGGATTATACGAAGGTCTAAAATGACCACCTTCGAAGGGTCTTTTTTGCCTTTGAATAAGGACTTCAAACTATTCTATGGCTAATGAAAATGAAGACAGTATTGAAGGTGCAAGGCTAGAAATTAAAGTAATTTAAAGTGCAGGATTGGAAATTAAGATAATTAAAGTGCATAACTGGAAATTTAGAGACATGGAAATGCAGTGCTTGGCTGGAAGAAACAAAAAGAGTGCTGGACTTAACTCAAACATTATGAGAATTCATTGCTGAAATGAATGCTGATGAGCGCTGAAAAGTGTGCATTTAAACCCTTTAAGTAAAGGTATTTTAGTCCATTTATCTATCTTTATTTACCCGTTTTAGTACTTATTTGTGTTTTTATCTATTTCAGGTCAATAATGTTAAAACGAGCTAAAAATGGTTTCTTAAGGCCTTTTTGGAGTCAAACTAAGTCTTTGTGAGAATTTGGAGCAAAAGGAGGCTGATTTGGAGCAAAATGAGGCTGATGCTGAAAAACTACCAAGTTGAATAGATCTGAGAAAAGTCTGATAGATCTTAGAAAAGTGAGATCGATCAGAGTTGGATCGATCAAACCCAGATCGATCAAAAGTTGGATCGATCGAACAAACTTTGATCGATCGAAGAAAAGTCTAATCGATCGAAAATGTGCTGGCAGTGAGCTGTCTAATTCCCGAGCGCGTTGATTTCCACCTACCACATAGTACGGGATTAGATATTTTTGGGGCTATATTTCTGACTTAATGGCTAAGAAAATGACCTTCTATATAAAGGGAAGTGACCCATTTTGTAAAGGAGTTTTTTGTTATTTTACTTTTACATTGTAATTTTAATTTCTCTCTCTAGAAAAGTTAGAGATTAGGGTTAGAAGAAAAGAGGGAAGTGGAGGCACATCTTAAGAACACATCTCTATATCCACACACTCTCTCTCTCTAGAGCTTCAAAGAAGAAGAAGAAGAAGATGGAGCCATGTTTAGAGCTTGCCCTCAAGGGTTTCATGACCACATCCATCTCTTCCATGATTGGCTAGATCTACACTTAAGGCTTGGATGAGTCCTAAGTCTTGTGTAATCTAAACCCTTGTATTTATATTTTTGGGGATTTATATATATTGTTGTGATTAGTGTTCTAGCCTTGTGAATTTAACGAATCTTGGTATATTTCTATGATTTATATAGTTTAATTCTTCCTATTAATTCTCTAGTTTATTTACATATCTATGTGTGATTAAATTGGGAATTATTTCTTACATGATTCATATGGATTAATTCTTTCTATTGATTTTCTATTTGATTATATGTTGTCTTATGTGTGATTATTTGGGAATTGATCTCTACACTAGTTTCTCTATGTTGGTTGCATGTCTATGTGTAATTAATTAAGGATCTAGTGATGGCTAAGTATGGGTTTTCATTGAATGGGTTTGTCAATTAATTTGATGGATTATTCTTATGATTGATGGGTTGTTCTACAATTTAATTCATGCTTGTAGGTAGGTAGACAACCTATACTTGGTTTGATATTCCATGGCTTATTGTTGTAAATTCCATGATTCTCTAGATTAATGTGTGTTACAATTGTGACTAGTTTGATGGGTCATGCTTAGAATTAATGGGTTGTTCTACACTTAGTTTATTTATCGGTTAGGTAGACAATTCATACATGAATTTGATGGTCCATGCTTAATATTGCAATTGGTAGTCGCATTTTGTTCACAACAATGTATTCCCCATTAATGGAAAGCAAATGGTTAATTACATGAGCTTAGTGGTGATTCCAACACCCTAAGACCTCTCTTCATAGCTCTTAAATCCCTATCTCAACTTAGTTTAATTTAATTGCATTTTAATTAATTGAATTTTAGTGTAATCAAATAATCAATCTCTCCTTTGCAATCTTGTGATCCACTAGAGTCAAAGTTAAATTCCAACACGTATAATTCCTTGGGACGATCCCTACTCACTCTTGCTACGTTAGTTGTAGTGGTGGTAGTGGTTTTTATAAATTTCAATTTGACCTGAAAGGCTTTTCTTGAACCGCACATTCACTACATTATTTTGGCGTATACAAGCAGCATCGTCAAATGCTATATGGAATAGCAAAGTACTGGACTCAACATAAAAAATATGTAAATTCATTGCTGGAATGAAAAATACATGAACTAGCAAAGTGCTAGGTTTAGACATAATGTAAATTCATTGTGGAAATGAAAGATACATGAATAGTAAAGATGCTGAATTGATATGTTATTTTAGGCTGAGCAGGCAGGATCTGCAAACTAGCCTTGGGTGCTCTATTTATAGAGTTCTTCCATACATGCAACAGCTTGGTGTGGCGGCTTCAACAGCTTCCACTTGGTCTTTCCTCAAACTGCCAAGTGTCCCATGATCTTCTAGCTTTCTCTTAATGTTAATAAGTGTAAAATCATATTCTCCTATAATTTATAACTGAGAGATAGTAGACTTAGTGGTTGAATACATGTTTACAAGCCTTTACCCACTTTCTGAAACTGCCCAAATGGAAAGGCAGCAGTTACAGCAGCAGTTGAGAACTTCCACCTAGAAGGTCCGGATCTTGCCACGTGTCCCATGTCTTCCTTAATCTTCTCCCTCATGCGTGGTCTTTTCTTGCATTTTAGATCATGATTCCACTAATTTAACCCCTGTCATCCATAACCTTTGATAACTTCCTCAGTTAGTGGTAGTTACTATATGAAGTACCACCACTCTCAACTGAAATGTTTATATTTTCCCAAGTGCCCCACGTTCTTTGTAGTCTTTTTCTTCTACAGAATCCCTTTCCTTGTATAATTCTATATATATATATATATATATATATATATATATATATATATATATATATGTATCATGCATGCATATAGAAGTTATTTGTAGACCACGTTCTCCTGGCTTTGGGTAACTTCTTTCCAGTTGAACTTTCCATTCTGGTCTT